GCCAATATTTCATCCTGGTAACAAAAATTGCGAGAGGATGAAGCTTAGGACATTTTGTTCAGGAGAAAAGCAATGATTTAGCTGAAAGCCTCTTCTTTTTTTACAATGGTCAGAAATATGATGCTTTATGGTTCTGTTCTGATAGAAAAAATCCTTTAGAAATAAAACATCACAGAATCACACATGGCACAGAATTCCACATGCATTGATGAGGTGTTTGTGCACTATAATGCATGCTGCGTAGCTCTGTTCCAACTGTTGCCAACTGCATGGTTTCTACACTGGAAAAGTATTCCGCGAAATATTATTTTTTTGAACATTTGCAACCCTCAAGATAGAATTCTGTTTTTTAAAAAGGGCACAGGGCAAAGTGCCACATCTGCAGACGTGCACGGAGTGGTTTACACTTCTGTACACATGCGAAGCATGATTTAGCACTTCTGCACATGCATGAGCAGCATCACTGACTGGGCTCTTTTGCTGCGTGCATCGGATCACCTGCCCACCCTCCCTAATCTAGGGCTATTGCGTTGACCTTACTATGCCTGTCATGGGGTCGTCTGCTCTTGGGGCAGGGGCCTGGTAGGAATTTTGTCCATTTGGCTGATTGGCTGGCGCCATTTGGTTTTTGCCTACTGCGTAGCAAATCGTCACAACTTGTAAGGTTGTGGTTAGGCATTGGTTAAAAAATTGGTTGGTGGAGAGGTAAGGATTGGCAGTGCCTGCCCCTCCAATGCTGCTGCTGCAAGGGAATTCCGTTAAAGGAATCCAGGGGCTTGCCATTCTTCCGTACTTACCCCTGAATGGGGCTTAGGGCTGCGCAAGCCCCCGGGAGCATGTGGGGGGCGGGGATGAGGGTCTGGTGCCCGGCTCCATGCTCTCCCCAATATTGTTTTCCCTTACTGGCTTTCACTGGAATCCGGAAGTCAGTTCTGTCCCTGGGCGTGGGGACAGATAGTAATAACCAATGCCTAAGCAACCACTCACATGTATGTATTTTAATAAAGTTGTGGCCAAAATTATGCCAAAAACCTTAAACAAAAATTATGTGTGAAGTGTGAATTATTTAGGGGTTGCTTGGGGGACCTCGACACGCAACATCATAAGAAGAACTCTGCTGGATCAGCATCCTCTTTTAACAGCGGACAACTGGATGCCTACAGGAAAACCCCAAGCAGGACCTGAGTACAACTGTGCTCAAGCAGGACCTGATGCAACAGCACTTTCCCCTGCTCATGATTCCCAGCAGCTGCTAGTGGAGATAGAACACAGCCATCGTGACTAGTAGCTATTGATAGCCTTAATCCCTATGACATATCATCTTCAGAAGGATGCCAATGAAGGGGTACGCCCATTTGGTCAAAAATGGATTCCACACACTTGAACTAAAGGATTGTTTGGAACAACCAAGTTTTTTAAGATCACCAAGTTGCCTCCATGTATTATGTATTTTATTTTATCCTTGCCATGTGTAATCTATTTCTTAGTTGAGTTGGTGGGTGGTGAGTTTTCAACCCAGTAAGTGTTCAAAATATTACCTGCCACTTTTCCTTCTTTTGGAATTATCTCGCCAGGATAGTTTTAATTCCCCCATAGTTCAGTGTTTATATTGAATCAGAAGCATCATGTGAACACAGGCATCATGTCAATAACTGATAGGAAGCTTTGCCTCCAGGAGGGCTGACTGTGTACACTGCTACTTTCCAGCTATCAAGCAGCAATAAAAGAAATGTGTGTGTGTGTGTGTGTGTGCGTGCGCGCGTGTGTGTGTTTGTATGAAAGCATGAAGTCACAAGAAGACAGCAACAGAATGACAAGAAAGTATGAAGACAGATGGAAACAAATGAGCAACCTTCCAAAACTTTCTGTTTTATTGGGTCTACATTTCTTCCATCTTGCACAGACACCACCACCACCATCATTCCCATCATATGTCGAGGTGAGCTGACAAAATAAAGTTTGCAGCTCAGTCTTATGCACATTTACTTAGAAGTAAATCACTGATATTTAATCTTAAGGATACGTGTATAGCATTGCAGGCTTCATCTTCACCTAATGCATTGTTAATAATTATTAGCAATCCTATCATTCTAAAATGTTCCAGTAAAATATCCTTGGGGCATTTTCACAAATGACAGCAGGAACACCTTTTAGTCTCCCCAATGAGTTGCTTCTGAATGCTGTTAATGAGCTACAAAAAAATGAAGCACAGCCATTACCATTTCAAAAATCAGATCTGTGTTCTGGCCAATATGATTTTCATTTAATTTACAAATGTAGGAAAATGAAATAGCACCCTTACAATGCAAGCTTGTACATGACTGCTCAAAAGGAAGTGCCGTTGTTTTCAGTGGGGCTTACTCCTCAGATAAGTGTGTACAGCATCACAGTCCGAGTTTCACAGCTCTTGCCCCCAGCTAAATGTTAAAAATGAGCATGGCAGATAAAAGAAATGGCTTGTGCAAGCAAGGTCAGCTCCTCCTGTCCACCCTGAGTCTGGGATATATGGAATATTTGCACTTTAGCAAGTGCAGGAAGCATCCTCTAACTGCCAAAAGCAGGAAGGCCTCTCCCTCAGTCTCATAATATGGGTTCCTTTAGTCCTTTTAATAAAATATATGAATGCCTATGGAGAGGGGGCAGGATAGCACAACTTGGTGCAGAGCCTGTGCATGCACAATTCTCCATACTATCATACAATCCTGAAATGACAGCATGGAGAGAACTTTACACATATATAGAGCTACATGCATACAGGCTCATAACTTTCAGCTGAATGTGCACAGGTCAAGGGCTGGGTTTGCTGCTATTCTCCTGCTTCTGTCTGCACACCTGTGAACTGTGAAAAGCCTCCCTCTTTATCCTTCATTTCAGCCAGGCCTTCTTTCAGTGTGCTACTCACATTTTCAGCTGAAGAAACTCAGGTGACTACCGGTACTTTAAACTGTGTCTCCTTTACGAGTGCTTCAACATTTCCTACCTTTTTTCCGCCTTCCATTGTCCAGTGCCTTTTCCTGTACCCCTTGTTATCTTGACCTACATTTCCCCTTCCAGCCTTCAGTTTAAGTGATGTGTTGAAGCACGAAAGAAAAGCTGGTCTAACCCATTACACAAATATGGGTGCTACAAATTACTGCAAAGTTTTGGTGCAATTAGCAATTTCCCTTCCATAGAATCCTAGAACTGAGATCGCGAGTGGCACTGATGATCAAAACAAACATATATTTACAGAGCTTGTGTCAGATTATACAGCACCTGTCTTTTACATCTGTCTCGAAGAGAAGTGATTTAATCTGTTGTTTTAATGAGCACTCAATGCATTTTTTTAAAAAGAAGAAATTCCAAAATTAGCTTTTTTAAAATAAAATAAAAATCCTCTTCCATGAATACTACTAAATGAGCACTGGTACAGGGGAAAAAACCTTTATATTAGGCTATGTTCTAAAACAGCATACTTTCAAAAATGCAGAATGACAAACCAGTACTGGTTAGAACCTGTACACTGAAACACCATCATACAGATTCAAATGATGAAGTAGTATAGGGAGTAAGAGGAATGGGAGAGGAACAAGCCCTCAGGACCAGCCACAGATGTGCAAAACCAACAAGAAGCACTTCTGCAAGAGGAACTCATTGTGGCAATACCTCTCCAGCCAAAGTTCCTGGTGAAATCATAGTATCCTATGGGCCCATTAAATTAAGAGAATCCTCTCACCAAAAGCAGAGCTAGCAGCTGACATACACAGGCAGCTCCTATTTAAGGCTCAGTCTGAGGATGACTGTTGATGAAGCAACATCTGAGCTCTGCTTTCATGTAGTCTGCAGCCTAAGCCCAGCATGGATTTCGCCAAGTACTGCTGAGGGCCCACCTCACCTCTGCACTGCTCAAAAAACACACACATGAGGCTGCTGTCCGACTGATGCCATGTCCTCCCTTCCTCACAAATAAATTTAGGTACAATTAACGTGACAGACAAATCAGTCCATATCAAGACACATTTTAAAATATATACTGCAATAAGTATTTTGTCACAAAATACATATTCAAATATGTATCTCAGTGTATGTATTTCTAAATACATTTTACCAAATGCATTTGTAATGCATTCTGCTGGTAGGTTTTTTTGAGCCAGGAACTGCGTTGAAAATCTGAGAGTATTGCGAAATCAGAATGATAAATTCATTCCAGTGTGGAAGGGTCAGTGCAGATTAGGTCAGATTGAAGTGGCATTCACAAAACTCAAATTTCTCAAGCCTTCCTACTTGTGACATAATCGTTTGTCCCTACCACTTTCAGACCCTGTTGGGTTGAAATAAACGACACACAAATGGCAAGGTGTCATACGGGAGGCATCTCTCGAACATGTGTTGGGGAGTCCCTTTTATTGAATATTACAGCATTGCCACATATGTGCTTGTTGCTGATTGGTTAACACAAGTACAAAGCAAGGGTTGCATATAAGACATTAATCATCGATAGGTTAAAGGCTGGAAAAAGGAACACAGAGTTTAGACAGGCATGAAAACCTTCTTATCATGATTGATATGGTGCTACTAATGGACTGAACGTTCCAGGGTGGTAAGACAGGAATGTACACAGAAGGATAAGTACAGATTGATATGGTGTGAATTCAAGGTGAACTGAACGTACCAGGATGGTACGAAAAGAATGTACACAGAAAGATAACTACCCATCATCTCCCCCTTTCTTTTCTTATTTGCGAGGTGTTACTATATGATTTCAGGGTGAATAGGACAAAAATACTTCGGGATACGTGGTATGCCAGCGCATGCCCAAAGTAAGTTCGCCCACATCTCCCCTATTATTTACAGTTGGTGTTGCCACTTATTAGGTGGCTGAGGGGGGTAGAAAAGCTGAGACCAAAGACGTATGAGACCAGGAATGCATTGGATGAAGCAGCATAGCAGAATTAATATACATATTATGACAATAGCATATTGAAAAAGAGTACGAAGCCAATTCAGATTTGGCAACCAACCAGTGAGCCACTGGGTGAATGAATCCCAGAGGCCAGAAAATCCAACGTCCTGTTTAATGTGGTGTGTAAGATTTTGCAAATGAGAGATTTGCTTTTGAATGGCTTTAGAGTTATTAGTAATATTAAAACAACACATGTCATCCACTTGTTCACAGCCATAATGATGAAGCATCAGTAAATAGTCAATAGCAGCGCGATTTTGCAGAAGTCCATGCTGGAGTTCACTCTGTTCTTTATTCAAAAGGTGAAGAGCTTGAGAAGTAAAATTCAAGGCTTTAGCTGCGGAGCAAGCTAAAGAATTAATGTTCATACTATTCCGTACAGCCAATCCAGGGACTCCAAAGAGAGAAACAGCTAAAGAGATATATTCAGATCTACTGGGAAGAGAGACAGAATCATCACAATCATTAGTCAATTCCACAGAGCGGCGATATCTAGAGCGGGACAGATGATGCCTTTTGGGTAAAATGATGGACAAACGGCTTAAACAGCAGGGTGTGCCATGGCTGATATTTGTCACATGGTAGTGGAATTCAGCATTCCTTGCGGTAGGACTTTCCATTGATACCGTTCCGTGGGCTGGCTGTTATTTAACACAGGAACAGTGAAAGCAAAGAATTTACGATCCTTCTCCTGTAGGGGATTGAGAAGAAACAATCTTGCAAATCTATGATAGCCAATTGATAAGAATGGGGGATCACATTCGGATTAGGCAGACCACACTGCAAAGGCCCCATGGGTTCAAGGATGTCATTAATTTTCCTTAAATCCTGGAGAAATCTCCATTTCCCACTTTTCTTCTTTATGACGCAGATGGGGGTGTTATAGGGGCTAACAGAGGACTCAATATGGTCTGCCGATAATTGTTCATTCACCAATTGTTTTAAAGCAAGTAGCTTTTCCCCCGTTATGGGCCATTGCTCTACCCGTACCGGGGTGGTGGACTTCCAGTTGAGGGGGAGTGCAAGCTTACTCATTAAGTTGAATGGTAGCTTGTAATTGTTGTAGCAAATCTCTGCCCCACAGATTGAGGTGGATTTTTAGCACACAGGGCTGGATGTATGCAATGGTTTCAGAGCTATCAGGCAGAGAAACAGGCAACCACTTTACACTTTTGGAAGAGGTTTGAGGTCCACCCACACCCCAAACTGCAGAGGCAGACTCAAGGGGCCACGTGGGGTCCCAGCAATTGCTGGATATGACAGAAATGTCTGTGCCCGTGTCAATCAAGCCTTCCAGAACCTTGCCATTGATTTTATACTTACGAAGAAGTTTCTGTTCACCAATCCTCTGGATTACAGCTAACAGCTGTGGAGAAAGTGGAAGGGGAGAGAGCTGGTGCAAATTACTATCCACAATAGAAGCAGTAGGATGAGAAGGGAGCACTACCAAATGCGCCCAAGAATCACCCTTTTTTAACTGCATGGGCATATGGCTCTGGAGTTGAACCATGATTGTGCCCATATAGTTAGGATCTAGGACTCCCGGAATAACCAGGATTCCTTCTTTGGCCGCAGAGAATTTGGGTAAAATTAAGCCTGCGACCTTAGATGGTAGTGGGCCCACCAACTGAGTGGGCATGAGCACAATTTCACCAGGTAAAACAGTGTCTTTGGTTTCCTGATTAATTAAATCAATGGTGAAATCAGAGGGTGTATCCTTAGAAAAAGTCTTAATAGTGGAGACTAACGGTGGAGGGCTCTCTATTTGTCCTGGCCTGAGAGCTGGGCCCCCATGGAGTTTCCCGAACTCCTGCACTGATTTGCCTAATGATAGCCTTTTCCACATTTCGGGCATTTTTTGGAAGGCTTAGCCTTATTGGCTTCACCATTCCTGTTTGCTCCCCCGCCAGGGGCTCTGCATTGTTTAGCAAAATGACCTGGGCGTTTGCAATTGAAGCAATTGCCCGTGGGCTTATTGCCCGCCTGGATGGCACCGGCAAGCAAAGACATCGCATGACTCTGGCTGCCAACATCCGCACAGGTCTGAATTATATCGGCCAGGTCAAATTTGGGGCGGTGTACAATTGATTGCAAAGCCTTCTTGCAATCAGTGTTTGCATTTTCAAAAGCCAATTTTTTCATCAATTCATTTTGAGCTGTGGTGTCATCAATCTGCCTGGTGATTGATTCTTTCAATCTGTCTATAAATTGATGGTAAGGCTCCGAATGTTGTTGCTTAATATTAACAAAGGAGCTCAGCGGTTGCCCTGAGACAGGGACTTTGCGAAAGGCGTGTTGTACACAGGTCGCGGTGCGACTAAAATGTAAAGTTGTCAATTGCGCCTGGGCTGGTATAGTATCATACGGACCAGCACCAAAGAGTTGGTTGGCTGAATGCTGTGGATCAGCCAGGGCTACTGCGCTATGCTTAAATTCGCTTTCAAAAACCACATACTGAGCCGGGTATAAAAGCATGCGCATCAGATCTTTCTAATCTTGAGGTAGCATTGTGTAACCATTTGCGATCCCCTCCAGCATCCCCAGCACATAAGAAGATTTTAGGCCAGAATCAGTAATGGCTTTCCTTAATTCTCTCAGAATAGAATAAGGAAGCGCCTCGTACATAATCTGTTGTTGCGCAGTGCCAGGGTTTGTATAGGAGACAGGGAAGGCAGACGGCATTTCGCCAGCCCATCCAGCCTCTTCTTCTAAGGAGAGGATTCCTTTCTGCCTAGCTTGAAAAAGCACAGCGCGCACAGCTCCTGTGGGAGAGCACGCAGGGGCTGAGGCAGGCGAAGGAGGGAGGGAAGGAGGGATGGGGGGGTGGATGTGGGCTGAGGCGTAGGCGGGGGTAGGGAAGGTTTTGATGGAGGCAAAAGCTTTGGGTAAGGTGGGGGATTGTCTGCTGCGACTAAAAGGGCAGGTGCCAGAGATGCCTGAGGTCCTAACCTAGCAACGGCATCTGCACACTTCTGCCAAGTGAGCAGACAATGAATCGGAGCCCTCGGTTCTGAGAAGAGGGTTGTTCCGATCTTTTGCCAAGCTTCTGTTCCCAGAGAGCCTGACTCTGGGTACCAGGGGCACTGGCAAGCAATCTCACATAACAATTGTTCAATTTCTTTCAAAGAAATATGCGCACCCGCCACCCTCTGTCTAACGAGGTGGAGCAGCTCCTTGGCATGCTCTTTTTGGAACCTTGTCAGTCCCCCCCCCCCATACTCACGAAGTAGCGCGCTGAGACTTTTCCAGTCGAGTGAAGTCCGGAGGTCTGCGTAAAGGGATCTGGCACGTCGGAATCACGTCGGGGTCACCAGATGTTGGGTTGAAATAAACGACAGACGAATGACAAGGTGTCATACGGGAGGCATCTCTCGAACATGTGTCGGGGAGTCCCTTTTATTGAATATTACAGCATTGCCACATATGTGCTTGTTGCTGATTGGTTAACACAAATACAAAGCAAGGGTTGCATATAAGACATTAATCATCGATAGGTTAAAGGTTGGAAAAAGGAACGCAGAGTTTAGACAGGCATGAAAACCTTCTTATCATGATTGATATGGTGCTACTAATGGACTGAACGTTCCAGGGTGGTAAGACAGGAATGTACACAGAAGGATAAGTACAGATTGATATGGTGTGAACTCAAGGTGAACTGAACGTACCAGGATGGTACGAAAAGAATGTACACAGAAAGATAACTACCCATCAAGACCCTCCAGGTGTTCCTATTTTCCAGTGACGTCCCTGATTTAGAGAAGTGGTCCCGGTTTCTCATTTGATCCCAGAATGTCCCAATTTTCCTTAGGGTGCCCTTATTTTCATTGGAGAAATGTTGGAGGGTATGGAGTTATCCAACCACCAAGCTGTCTGAAAGCAATCCTGTATAGGGAATTTTTTTTAAAAAAATGTTTAATGTTTTATTAGGTTTTTATTTGTTGGAAATTGCCCAGCTACTGGCTGGGGCAACCCAGTAAGATGTGTGGGGTATAAACAATAAAATTATCATAATGGAATGGTACATCTCTATTTTCATTGGAGAAATGTTGGAGGGTATGCACTTTTCTGACTACACTGACAACAGCTGGGGAGAGTAGAAAAATCCATACCACATGTTAGTAGTTTAATATATTGAGATTATCAGGATCGCTCCAGCTGGCTTTACAGACATGCTTGTAAAGGGAAACTGACTGCTCACCACCAGGAGTTATTTCATGCCCATGAAATGGCAGACAGTGTGTAGGTATAAGATTTTGGCCTATTTGGATTCTTTGTGTCCTTTTTCAATCATCGCCTGATATTGACTACTAGCCTATGAGACTTGCTACTTCTTTGGGATTACTTCCTGAAAATTTAACTCAGTTTGGTTCAGTATAGTTTTCTGAAAGAGTAAAAATGTTATTGGAAGAAACTACACTGTGAAATAACTGAACAAAGAATAGAACTATGGGTTTAGCAAACCAATCAGATAGCTAAAGTATCTTGGGCTGAAACACAATCTTGTACTGTTGTTTTGACAATAAGAATTTCATCAGTCAGAGAGAAACCATTTGTAAGGCAGAGATAGATTGTCGGGAAAGACAGAAAAGGTAGATCAGTAAGAGAGTCAATAAAATGATGGCCGGAGAATACCAGGTGGATTAGTATTATAGTGATTTTTGAACTGCAAGATAGAAAAGGAGAAGAAAAATGTAATATTTTGCACAAAAATATATTAAAGACTAACAAAAATGGAAAATTCAGGAACCAAGGGGAGATTACTAGTTTCATGCTGTATAATAACAGACACATAGTAGCTACAAAATTGAACCCACTTATTCTAGAGTAGGTTTGGTACCCTAGGGATTTGCTACTGCTACTTACAGAAACCAGAAGTGACATGATGAAGCATACTTAGAGGGTTTACAAGCTATGTGAGGCCAACTAGCTAGAGGAAAGGAATTCATAAAGATTCATCGAGGATCAGAGATGAGATTGGAAAGGCCAGGGCAAAGGAACAGTGGGATGGGAGTACAGATGCTTGGGTGTCAAATTGTTGATAATAATTTGAAGAAAAGCTAGGTCTGGAATGCCAGACTTGCTCAAACACCCAACGTTCAGGCTGGGCCAGGGTGGAAATGACTTGAGGGAATAAGAATAACAGCGCCTAGAATATGGGAAGGAGAATAAGGAGATAGGAAATATGTGACACAGCTAGAAGAACTAAAGACTTGCATGACTTACTGTATTTTGAATTATTTATAGGTTGCCTTTCTGAGTGAAGCTCTTCAAGGCAGCTTACAGTCCTAGAATTACAGAAGCCATCCTGGTTTTTTTATTTAAACCTGGAATATCCTGGTTTTCCTTTTTCCTCCACTCCACATCTCAGAGAACAATTAAAAGTGGTGGAGAGATCAGACCGCCCCCACTCCTGTCCTTTTTGGAAACAGGAACCT